TTGACCAGCACCGTGTCCTTCACACTGCTGACCCAGAGACCCGGTCACAGCAGGGAGAACTCCTCCAGGGACTTGACCAGCACCGTGTCCTTCACGGCACTGAAGACGGAGCGGATGTTGTTGGTGTCGGTGGCGCAGGTGAAGTGGGAGTAGATGCTCTTGTCCCTGTCGCCCTTCCTCTTGTCCTTCTTCACTGCCTGCTGCAGGTACATCTGCAGGATGAACTGCATGGCCGCCTGCACATCACACTGCTTTCCTGCCAGAGGGAGTGAGTACTGGAATTAACACTGGAAACACACACTGCACACTGTAGATACACACACTGTAGATACACACACACTACACACTCAATATAGATACACACACCATACACACTGTAGATACACACACTGCGCACTCACTGTATATACACACACTGTAGATACAAACCCTTTATACACACTGTGTACATACACACAACACACATACGTACTATGTATACACAGTACACACACAATATCAACACTGTACATACACTGTACACACACACTGCACGCACACACTATACACACGCATTCTACACTTACTATGCACACACTGTAGATACACACACAACACACACATACTGCACATACACTGTACACACAGTGCACACACACTATACACACACCACGCACACATTATACATACACACTATGTAAACACACTGAACACACACTGTATACACACCATACACACACTGTATACACACATGATATACTCACACACATTATGCACACACACTTTATAGAAACACTCACTGTAGACAGACAATATAAACACATGCTGTATACACTTTACACAAACACTACACACTGTATAGAAATGCTGTATACGCACACTGTACGCATACTTTATATACACACTCTGTAAACACAGAGTTTATACATTTTATACAAACGCTATACACACCGTACACACACACTGCACACACATTGCACACACACCGCACACACACCGCACACACACCGCACACACACCGCACTGCACACGCACTGCACACCGCACTGCACACCGCACTGCACACCGCACTGCACACGCACTGCACACGCACTGCACACGCACTGCACACACTGCACACACTGCACACACTGCACACACTGTACACACTGTACACACACACGTCTAGAATGCATCCTGCAGGCACAACAGCTGCTCCTCTGCAGCACAGAGGGATTTTCCAGACTCCACAGGCAGGTCTGGGGCTGGGCGGCACGTCAGTATGGTTGCTATGGGCAACAGTGAGGCAGATGGAGCTGCCAGACCAGCCCATTGCTGTAACTCTCCTACAGGTAAGGAGCCTTGCAAGTGAGAACTACCCTTTCCAACCACCTGTGATTGAGTAATTGACCTCCAGCTTGTGTAACTACCCTTAATTGCTTAATTGGACCAATTAAGCAATTAAGGGTTGGTCAAATTACTTTATGGTAGTTAAAAACGATAGTAATAATCTGCATATATTTATATAGTACATTTTCATGCTAATGTGTCATAATGCTGTACTTACTGATTAAATTAGACGGAAAACTCCAATATAAGACTAATAAAACTGCCAGAGTAAAAAAGAACATCCATAAGACACAAATTTAAACCATTCCTTAAAAATTGCTGTTGTAAAAACATATGCATTTAGGATTTGAGACATGCACTTCAGGATGAATGTGTGATCCGAGGGGTGGAGAATTTTAGAACTGTAGGGGCTGTAACAGACACTGATTATCTTCAAGCCGGCACCAGAAAACCTTCATCTGTGTCTTTGCATTTCAGATAAACAAATCAAGGACCAGGTGCTTTAAATACTAGTAAAAGTTCTATTTACCGCTAACTACTATATTCCTATAATGGACCAGCAGTCAATGCAGCGATGCCAGCACAGGAATGTGTTCTTGTTAGCATTATAGCAGCTGATTTTTGCAATTGATATGAACTAAGATCAGAAAATCAGAAATTTTAGGTACAGCAGAGGTAATTTAGGTACAGTAGAGGTACTGTATGTGCAATTAATCAATTAATGACCTTTAGGCAGCTAAGGCACTAAACTGGACTAAATTAATTGACTAATGTACAGTTACAGCAGGAGACTGAACCTTTGAACTGGGGGAAGTAGGTGACGAGGTGTGAGGTCAGGATCTTCTCCGCCAGGATGTCCTTCTTGTTGAGGAAGAGGATGATGGAGGACTTGAGGAACCAGGGGGAGTGGATGGTGGTGTAGAACAGGGCCTTGCTCTCCTCCATCCGGTTCTGCAGGAGAGAGGTGGGGAGGGGAGAGGTCAGTGAACAGGCCTCGCTCTGGCGCCGCGAGTGGGGCGAGACAAACTCGGGGGAACCTACATCGGTCTCCTGCTCCTCCAGCACCTGGTCGTACTCGCTGAGAGAGGCCAGGAAGATGAGGGACGTCACGTTCTCGAAGCAGTGGATCCACTTCCTGCGCTCCGACTTCTGCCCCCCCACGTCCACTATCCTGGAGAGGGCCCAAGCGGGCAGCGGGGGGCAGAGACAGGGATCATGAGAACCGGAATGAACTAGAAACAGCGCCGAACCCCTGCCCTGCCACTGCAGGCCCTGCCTCCTGGCACGCACTGCCCAGTCTCCTGTGGCACCAAGCACTGCCAGCCAGGCCCGGCCTGGCCCATCTCCCATCTGCAGGGGCAGGGAGGGGGCTTGACGGAGCAGCGTGTTGCTGACTGCTCTATCTGTCCTCTTCTGTCCGAGTGCTTAGTCCTGTTTTGCACACTCCTCAGTTTCTCGATGAGGCTGCAACGTGCACTGAGCCGGGGGAAGAGGCCCAGGGTGCTGCTGGTCAGTGTGGGCGACAGGGAGCCCCCTGCTGTGGGATCCCAGTGTTCAGGGCTGGGGGGGCTGTAGCTTCTGTTCCACTCAGCTCTAGCAGCTGACATGAGCTTGTGCTGCACACACACTGTATCTGCACACACACTGTACACTGTAAACTGTGACCATACACACACTGTACACTTTAACTGTATCTGCACACACACTGTACACTGTAACTGTATCTGCACAGTGTATCTGTACACACACTGTACATTGTATCTGCACACACACTGTACACTGTAACCATACACACACTGTACACTGTATCTGCACACGCACAGTGCTACTGTATCTGCACACACACTGTACTGTACACTGTAACTGTATCTGTACACACACTGTACACTGTAACTGCACACACAGTATACACTGTGCTACTGTTAAGTGCACACACACTGTGTATGACTGTAACTGAGCAGACACGTGCACAGTTGCAAGAAAGTTTGTGAACCCTTTGGAATTACCTGGATTTCTGCATTAATTACTCATACAAAATGTGGTCTGATCTTCAACTAAGTCACAATAATAGACAAACTCAATCTGCTTAAACTAATAACACACAAACAATTGTACTTCTTGTTAGTACTGAACACTTGGTTTAAACATTCACAGTCTAGGTTGGAAAAAGTATGTGAACCTCTAGGTTAATGACTTCTCTAAAAGCTAATTGGAGTCAGCTGTTCCAATCAACGAGATGAGACTGGAGGTGTGGCTTGGAGGTGCCCTGCCCTATTAAAAAGGCACACAAAGGCTGGTTACTGACAGAGTCAAGAAAGAGCTGTTCATGTAAACCATACTGCATGTCCCAAGTTTACAAAAGTCCACCTGGAACTTCTGGGACAGTGTTCTGTGGATGGCTGAGATGAAAGTTGAACTCTTTGGCAGAAATGTTTGAAGGACAAAAAGCACTGCACACCAACACCAAAATCTCATCCCAACCATGAAGCATAGTGGAGGGAGCATCATGGTTAGGGGCTGCCTTGCTGCCTCAGGGCCTGGACAGCTTGCCCTCATAGAAGGAACGATGAATTCAAAATTGTATCAGGAAATCTACCCGGACATTCTCCTGTAAGTGGTCTGTCACCTGAAGCTTAATAGAAGCAGGATAATGCAACAAGACAATGACCTGAAACACAGGAGTAAACCTAAAACAACAGAATGGCTTAAACAGAAGGAAATCTGTGTTCTGGAATGGCCAAGACCTCAACCCAATTGAGATGCTGTGGCGTGACCTGAAGAGAGCTGTTCACGCAAGGGATCCCATAAATATCAATGAACTGAAACAGTTTTGTATGGAGGAATAGTCTTAAATTCCTCCTAACCGTTGTGCAAGTCTCATCAGCAGCTACAGGAGATGTTTGGTGGAGGCTACTGCTGCTAAAGGAGGTTCCACCAGTTCTACCAGTTACTAAATACAGGGTTCACATACATTTAACGATGTGTTCCATATTGACAACTACAATTGTGTGTTATTAGTTTTATGCAGACTGTGTTTGTCTATTATTGTGACTTAGTTGAAGATCAGACCACATTTTTATGAGTAATTCATGCAGAAATCCAGGTAATCCCAAAGGTTCACAAACTTCTTCTGGCAGCTCTGCTACTGTAACTGCACTGAGTACCACACTTTCAGATGCTGGTCACCTTGGATGAGTCAAACCAGGTCATCTAGGGACTCGGGTCTTGATGGACTGGCTGGCTACCTGAGTAACATCTTCTCCACAGTGAAGGGATACTCGGTGATTCCTGTGGTGGGGAGTCGAACCCGCAGCACATCTTGAGAAGTGGGGATGTAGTCTGCAGCTGTGATGCGCTCCAGGTTCGACATGAAGCTACACAGAGAGTGGGAGGGAGGGATGAGGAGACAGTTAAAAGGAGAACAAGAAGGAAATGTGGAGCCAAAACTATAACATGGTTCTTCCTTTGACATCTGTTACTCTACAGTAGATTCTGTTCTCATGAGTTCAATCTCAAAGGTGACTTTTAAGGATTTGGCGCCCTCTGCTGTTCTGATTCAGTACTGATAATTTCTAGATGGGGTGTGTTTGAGGGGTGCAGATCAATGGAAGACCTGCTTGCAGAGCCCAGAAACCCTCTGCTCTCCACATGTAGTCCCTCCTACATGATGACCTCATGTAATGTGGTCATTTTCTACACTCCTTAAGAAATGGTGGGGAAAACAATATAGATGTTTACTGTCCAAAACAGATTGGAATATATTCTTTTGTCCAGATGGGTGCCTGATGAAGACCCTGGTTAATAATACTCCCAGACTTGCGAGCCAAACTGTCCACAAGGAATGGACCCCTTGTGATCAGCAGAGAATATGAAAGCACTGGTGAAAGGATTAAATCTCTCTCGCTCTAAGACCAGAGTTGGCTGGTTGTTCCTGGGAGATGCTGTGGAGATGAGTCTGGCTGACAAGAGACTTGTGCTGCTGTCTCAGGAAGTGCCCAGCTACTCCAGGGAGAGACCTTTCTGTGGCACTAGAGCTAGAAGCCACAGCCTGAGGTGTGGAAACAGAGACACCAGGTATGTTCCAGACAGCTTCTTATTCTCATGAAGGTGGAGCTGAGCTCTGCCTGACTGATGACAAGTCTCCCATGTCTTTCCAGGTATTTCTGTGACTGTACTCTCGGATCCCTGGAGGAGAGTTTCCAGCTAGCGATCCGCGGGCCTGGGCTGACCCTGCCATGGCGCACTCACTAGTCGGTGGAGTCCAGCAGGTGGAAGTGGCGGCGCTGGCTGTAGCACTGCCGGATGCCCAGGTCGGCCCACAGGCTGCGGATGGCCTGCACCTCCCAGAGCTCCAGCGCCCTGACCTGCAGCACGTCCACCTGGAGCAGGCGCTGGGCGTGTGCCTGCGCGGGAGAGAGGGCAGACAGCTCGGGGTGAGCAATCGCAGCCCCCCCAGCGCTCCAGCCCACCTGCACCCCAGCCCCCCTGTGCTCCAGCACTCCAGCACCCCAGTACCCCTGGTCTGATTCTGTTTTCTCACCAGCTGTCCCCACCCCTGCTGCACAATGACTCTTGTGTTGGGGTGCTGGGGGGAGAGCCCCACCATCTCCCAGTACCTCGTTCTCTGGGCGGCCGTAGGGGATGCCCAGCGTGGCCATGGCGCTGATCATGCTCTGCGCCGCGGTGAAGATGTTCTGGTACACCAGCTTGGCGAAGGCGCGGCGCTCCTCCTCCGAGTAGCCCTGCCCGTGGATGATCCGCATCTGCTTGATGAACGTGCTCTTCCCGCTCTCGCCTGTGCCTGGGGGCCGGGGGGCGAAAGGAGAGGCAGAGAGACGCTGACCCCAGCAGAGCAGCCCGGCCAGCGGACACCCCTCGGAGGACACGGCGGCAGCCCTGGCACCCTGCAGCCCAGCGGGTGGGAGCCTGGCCAGTACCTGGAGGGGAGACTCCTGGGAAAGCTAAGGCTGCTGCTGCAAGAGGTGTGAGTGGGGCCAGCAGGGGGCGCTCACCCTGCAGTCTGTGTGGGTCCTAATGCCCCAGTATAGTGAGGGGGACACTATACTGTAAAAAGGCGCCGTCCCTCAGATGAGACGTAAATCCGAGGTCCTGACTCTCTGTGGTCATTAAAAATCCCAGGGTGACTCTCAAAAAGAGTAGGGGTGTAACCCCAGGGTCCTGGCCAAATTTCCCCCTGACCTTTACCAGTCATGGCCTCCTAATAACCCCCATCACTGAACTGGCTTCATCACTCTGCTCTCCTCCCCACTAAGAGCTGGTGTGCAGGGAGCGGACTGGCGCACTCTGGTGTGGAGGGTATCCCCATTATTAATATTATTATGATCGGTTGTGTGACACAGGCCATACAGATCTCACACCTCCCTGCTCCTTCTCCAGACCTCCAGTCCAGCCCAGCCAGACCGACCGCAGGCCCCCAAGTCTTCACTCTGTGGTCATGGTGTAGAAAGAAGCCCAGGACCCCTCAGGGGTGTCCGGTCTCGGTGTCTGATGTGTGGCTGAGACTCTGACCATCATTTCACAGTGCTCTACTACTCCAGTGCGTTTTTACCATGATTTCACGGTGCCCTACTGCTCTAGTGTGGTTTTACCATGATTGCACTGTGCTCTACTGCTCTAGTGTGTTTTTACCACAATTTCATGTTACCTTTCTGCCTAACTCTGCTTTTAGCATGACTTCACTGTGTTCTAATGCCTAACTGTGCTATTACCACAATTTCATAGTGTTCTCCTGCCTAACTGTTAATTTACCATGATTTCACAGTGCTCTAATGCTCTAGCCTGTTTTGACCATGATTTCACTATGCTGTACCGCTTAACTGTGCTTTTACCATGATTTCACTGTGCTCTACTGCTATACTATGTTTTGACCACGATTTCACGACGCTCTACTGCTCTAGTTTATGTTTACCATGATTTCATGGTACTCTACTGCCTAAGTGTGCTTTTACCATGATTTCACTGTGCTGTATTGCTCTAGTGTGATTTTACCACAATTTCACGGCGCTCTACTGCTTAATGGTGCTTTTACTGTGATTTCACTGTACTCTACTGCTCTATTGTGTTTTTACCATAGATTTCACTGTGCTCTACTGCTGCAATGTTTTTAACCATAATTTCGCTATGCTCTACTAACTGTGTTTTTACCATATTTTCACACCTGCCCTACTGCCTAACTGCTTGTACCATGATTTCACAGTGCCCTACTGCCTAACTGCTTGTACCATGATTTCACAGTGCCCTACTGCCTAACTGTGTTTTCACCATGATTTCACTGTGCTCTACTGCTGTAATGTTTTTCACCATGATTTCGCGGTGCTCTACTGCCTAACTGTGTTTTTACCATATTTTCACCCCTGCTCTACTGCCTAACTGCTTGCACCATGATTTCGCGGTGCTGTACCACTGACGTGTCTGATCTCACTGACAGACTCTGCGAGCCCCGCGCTCAGGTGACCATGGTCCAGCGGGACGGGTACCCGCGCGTCGGCCAGCCCTCGTTGGGCCGAGAGTGACCGCAGGACAGCGCCCATGGTCACCTCCCGCCGCCGCCCGCCTCACCCAGCAGCAGCACTTTGATCTCCCGTCTGTCCCTCTTCCTCTGCTTCTGCAGGATCTTCTGGATCTCCCGATCCACGGCGATCGCTTGGCGCTCCTCCTCGGACAGGCAGCACGCGCAGACCCGGCACCGCCCCATGGCGCGCGCCGGGCGGCTCCGGCGAAACTGCGTCTGTTTCACGAGTGGCGTGACGCGAACAGCGGCTCCGGCAGGGCAGCTCGGCACGGAGGTCCACCCGCAGCACGAACAGGGTTGATGGGAAATAAACTGTTCTCGAAAGGCACGGTTTCCGAGGAGACGCGTCAGGTCGCTCCGGGGGGTCAGAGACCGGAGACGCTCCTCATCCTCAGCTCGGGGAAAAGTAAAGGGTGAATTAACTGCCCCGGGGAGGCCACTGTATTGTAGCCCCCACCCCTCCCGAGAGCGAACCGGTTCCCTTAGAGCCCCGAGCGCCGGCTGCTGAGAGTTTCAAGTCGGCGACACCGGTCCGTTAGAAGACGAAACTCCTGTTCTGATCAATCCCGCTCCGTCTCTTCACCCCGAGCGGTGAGTTAGTTAAACGTGCTTGCGCTGGACTCCCACAGTCCGGCCACTCACTGCGGCCGCCGGCTCGACCAGCGACGTCGAGCGCCTTCTCGCTGCGGGAAAGTCACAGAAAGTTGGAGAGATTCTCCAAGTGCAGCGTTTCCCCTAGAGGAAGTCCGAGCACAGCGCGATGAATTCACCGCAGGACAGAACACGGTCGGTCTCATGCCCTGTGGAAAAGAGACGGAGTTCCTGCCTGTTTCGCAGGTTACTATTCTCATAGGTGTAGCAGAATTTAAAATATGTGACAGAAAGGCAGAGAGAACAGGGCAGACTGGACAGGCGAGGGGACCGCACAGTCTCTGTTAGGACTGCCGAGATGAACAGCGGGCGTGGAGCCGGAGGCTGAAGCAGCGTGATCACATGATCCCGGCGCTGCGAGGGAGGGGCTTGACTCGACCACGCCCACCCGTCGCCAGGGGAGACTCCCCGTGGATCTCGGGTACACAGCACACCTGCGCACAGGAAGGCAGACTGACAGCCTGTCTGGGAGTTTGGACCTGGCAGTGAAGGCACTGAGGTGCTTTTGACGCCCTTATGAGACTCTACACCTTCAACCCTCCCATAAAAATCTGGCTGAGAGTATTGGAAAGTGTCATCCAACCCATTGCCCTATGCAGCAGTGAAGTGTGGGGTCCCCTCACAGAGCAAGATTACACTCAATGCGACAAACACCCCCTAGAAACACCCTCCCTGTGTGGAGGAAAACTCCTAATAATGTATACAGGGCAGAATTAGGCCAAGACTCGTTAAATATTTGTTATACCTGAGAAACAGTGACTAGCATTTCTCCCAGGGCAAGGCCATGCTGAGCCCAGAGAGGAGCCCCTCGGCCAGCTGGTCCTGAAGCTCACTGACACCAACCAGCCTCAGGACAGCACAGCTACAGCCACACAAAGCACAATCAACCAAACCACAGCACAAGATAAACAACACCACCTTACCCACTGGGACACACACACAAACTGTGACGCTACAGAACCCTAAATAGACAATACAATAATTGACCAGGGTGAGAAACAGCAAACAGACCCTGATGAGGTACAGGCTGAATGATCACAGCCTGGCCACAGAAACTGGACACAGACAGATCTGACTGCCCAGAGAGGACAGTCTGTGCTCCCACTGCCAGCAGGGAGAAACAAAGACAGAGGTGCACTTCCTACTGCACTGTGACAGATACTCTGGGATTAGACAAACATTCTTCCCCAAATTAACTAATCTAATCCCAGAATTCTCACACCTGCCAGAATTCTAAAGGGAGAGGGAGGAGGGAACTCAATTGAACTGGCAGCCCAGCGTGTGATCTCCTGTCACAGCCTGAGGAATAGTGAGCCTGTCTCCCAATAATGTCTTATGTGTTCTATGTCAATGCCCAATGATGTGTTTGTACTGTAAATGTCTGTAGATGCTGTATTTATTGTATACGCTTTGGCACCACTTTAATTCACAACTCATGCCAATAAAGCTGTTTGATTTTTAATTTAAATTGAGAGAAAGGCCGTTGCTGACACCCAAAACAGACCTTTCCTGTCTGCGTGTCCATCTGTGGAATCCTCAGCCTGATTTCTGAACAGTAGGAGTCCTAAAGCTTCAGTCTGCTGAGGTTTCAAAGAGTCCCAGGTAGGTGTGAAAAACCACAGCTGTTTCTGCAGACCAAGAAAACAATGTGATTACATGAAAGATATTGTTTAGAATAACTAGTTTGCACCTGGACATCTATTTTCAGACAATTTAGGTCTGTTTTAAAAAGTGCACGATGTTCTTCACCAGCTGAAATAAATACCGGAGCCCAGGACAGTCTGGGGAAAACGATTCTGGAAAAGTTACACACGGAGAGCAATTACTGGGCATAGTTCATGGAGTTGCTCATCAAGGTTAAGAGTGCCCAGTAATAATAATTAAAATAATTGCTTACACTTATATAGCGCTTTTCTGGACACTCCACTGAAAGCGCTTTACAGGTAATGGGGATCCCCTCCACCACCGCCAATGTGCAGCATCCACCTGGATGAAGCGACGGCAGCCATAGTGCGCCAGAACACTCAACACACATCAGCTATCAGTGGGGAGGAGAGCAGAGTGATGAAGCCAGTTCATAGATGGGGATTATTAGGAGGCCATGATTGGTAATGGCCAATGGGAAATTCGGCCAGGACACCGGGGTTACACCCCTACTCTTTTCGAGAAACGCCCTGGGATTTTTAATGACCACAGAGAGTCAGGACCTCGGTTTTACGTCTCATCCGAAGGACGGCGCCTGTTTACAGTATAGTGTCCCCATCACTATACTGGGGCATTAGGACCCACATGGACCGCAGGGTGAGCGCCTCCTGCTGGCCACACTAACACCTCTTCCAGCAGCAGCCTTAGTTTTTGCCAGGAGGTCTCCCATCCAGGTACTGACCAGGCTCACACCTGCTGGGCTTCAGTGGGCTGCCAGCTGGGAGCTGCAGAGTGATATGGCTGCTGGCTGCTGGCAGTAGGCTGGGCACTCCCAGCGGCACCACGCTCACTCTTGTTCACACCCCGTGCACAGTTGCTCACAGCTGGTGAGGGCTGCGTCCTGCCCTGCTTTGCCTCCCTCTCTGCACGGGTCTCGCTCAGCTCCTGCTGCCTGTGTCTCTGACAGCGCAGCCCCGTCCCTGGGGCAGCCAGGCGCGGAGGGAGGGGTGAGCTCAGCAGCAGGTATGTGTGGGACTGCAGGCATGTCGGCATGTGTCCTGCCTCCCCACTTCAGGCTGGACCAGTCCAACCAGTTCCTCACAGGGAAGTGTGGAGAACTGGATTGACTGATTGACTCGCATTCTGCACACACAGGGGAGGAGACACAGAAAGAGGGACAGGAGACACAGAGAGAGTAACAGGAGACAAAGGAAGGGGCAGGAGTCTTTCTGAGACCGGGAGATAGGAGAGTGAGAGAGAGGGACAGAAGACTCTGAGAGGGGGACAGGAGTCTGTATGAGACAGAGGGAGGGGAGTCTGACTGCTACTACTAATGCTTTAGTGGCTTTTATTACTATACAACTACATTGTTACTGTTAGTCCTGCTGATATCGCTATGCCTGACAAATGAGTGCTGAGCACTGCAGTAACAGTCACACAGAGCGACTGTCCTCACAGCCTGAGGGCTCCTGTGTGTTTGCTGACTTCCCGGAGTGCAGGTGCGATTGCTCAAGAGTGCGGGTGTGGGAGGAGAGGGGGATTTTCTGGGTGTCCCTGGAGTTTCCTGAACCCAGCCCTTTCCTGAAGAGAACAGCACAGGAAACAGATTGATTATGAGCCTGAGAGGAGCAGCAGGTATATTTTCCATTCAACAAACTTTATTGGTGTGACAGATGAATTGCAGTGTTGTCAAAGCAACAGCATTTAGTACTCAAAAACAATTAAACCAATAACAATAGTGTTTGTTGGACTGTCTGTTCCTCAGGCTGTGACAGGAGAGCACATACTGAGCTGCAGCTCTTTTGGGATTCCTCTCCCAGTGGGATTGGGAAATGTTCCAATTCCGGCAGGTGTGGGATTAGATTTGATATTTTAGAGATGAAAATGTGTTTAATCTCAGAGTGTTTCTCACGGTGCATCTGTCGTCTCTGGGCAGCCAGCTCTGCCTGTGCTGCACTATCAAACTGTTAAATTCCCACCCTCTCTCTCTCTCACTCTCACTCTCACCTCACCTCTCACCTATGACCTGAACCTCACAGTGCCTTCTTCCTTTCTTTCTTACCAAAAACCCAAACACACATTGAAAATCTACCTCTACCA